TTCTCTATGGTATTTATCATTTTTCAGCTCCATCAACTTGTATAACTCATACTATTGTAATTGTATTGGTTTTAGTTTAAATTGTCGAACCTATTGTTAGAGCATCGCATTCGACATTTGTCCCCTGAGGAGTAGAATTTTAATTGGCATCAGAGCATGCACCTTAGCCTATTGGGTGAGCTCCATGGAAGATAAATTCTACTCAAATAGACACAATGAAAGATGGAGGACTTTTCTGTGTATTAAGAACTTTTTTGTATGCAGGTGTTACTTTGAAAATTATTTGATATAATAATATTCATTTGAGACATCAAATTCATCTGATACATGAGAATTCATATATACCCTTGTTTGATTCATCTTATGCTAAGCTTGCACCTGAGGCACTATTGTTCATATGATGTTTATTACTTGTTTGTGTGGTTTTAATCCAAAAGAATCGGATGCATTGTTTGACTTGTGTCAAGATTATTGCTCTTGTTTGGTTAGACCTTTCTTACCTTATCTTTTACTTTATGCTTTAGGATAGTCCATTCATCTCTTGTCCATCTTCAATTTTCAAATCTTCTCCCTCTTTTTCAAAACCTTCTTTGTTTTCAAACTCAAACCACGTTCAATAAAAACCTTGACTTTGTCAAGTGCATTTTCAAAATCTTTTTCTTAATCAAATCTTAATTCATTTAATCAAAGTTAAACTCTTTCAAAAGACTAAAAAATACAAACTAATTCAAACCATTTTGTCATTCTGACTTTTGTTTTAAAAAATTTCTTAAATATTAGATGTGAGTGATCTCTACGGTTGAGATATAATTCTCCCATGTCATAACTTTGATTGATGTACTGGTGAATATTTTCCACTTGAAAGGGTCGGTGGCATACTTGTTGAGTTATCCAAGTTGGAGCCCTTCTTTCACTTGTGATGCAAAGGTTCATCATTCTCATGTTTATGGATATTTGGTTGAGTATCCTCCCTAAGATGACAAAATGTCTCTTCATTTAAAACTAACCAACAAATAATTTTATTCTTTTTTAGAAGAACTACGTGGTTTTTATTTTATCATTACACATTGGTGGTATGTAGGCACGAGGCTCTCGAAGTCTTGTCGAGTCAAAATTGTAAAAACCATTTCTTTTCTCATCTCCACAAACTTTTTACAAATAATCCTTTTTAGCTAAGATACACAAATTTTCAAAGAAGTTCATGCGGAGTACCGTAGATGTATAGGGTGCCAACATCTTACATTTGTATAACCAACTCTCGTATCTAGATCTTAGTTTTATTAGTGTTTGTTTTAAAATCTTTTTTAGATTTTATTTACTATTTTCTCATTTCTTTAGAAACAATCAAATGTGGTGGTGACTTTCACTTTTTGAATTAAGTTAATCAATAACTTAATCTCAACTTTTCACTATTATAAATATCTTTAGAAAAATGATGGTTATGACACATAAGCCAACTAGAATACCATGTAAAGTAAATTAAACTCCATTGAGAAGAAAAAAAGATGGTAAAGACATATGTCATCATTTTTAATAAATTTGCTATTAAATTGGTCTTTTTTTAAATAAAAACATACCAAAATGGAAAATAATAATAATGATAAATAAACATTTTTTTTTTTTTGCTTAAAAGCGTAAATGTAGCTGAGGTACATGTTTTGTTTAGTCATTTGTCTTATTAATCAGAACTCTAAATTCTGTTCTCCGCGTTCTGCTTTCGGTTTCAGTTTCAGTTTCTTGTTTGTTTGTGTTATTCATCAAAACCAAATCAAATCTTCAAATCACCCCAATTTCAAATCTTCAATCTTTCTTTCTCTTTTCCTCCAAAATCGAATCTTTCCCATCTGGGTTCATTCAATTTGTCGTTTCCTTCTTCAATGATATGTTCTTCTTCCTACGGTTATGGCTTTGAATTTTTCCCACAATCATGACCGGTTCGCATTTGAATAGAAGCATTTCCATCAACAGAAGATCCCATTCTCAATCTCAACAGCCTCTTGGTAGTCCCAAACCCGTTTCATCAACCCGTTTTGGATGTGTTTCTTTGGGTCTCAGGTTTCAAGTTCTTGTCATCATTGCTTCTGTTATTTCGTTTTTTATAGCAATTGGTGGTGGTTACATCTATGTGTTACCTAGTCTTACTCATGCTTTTTTTCATACACAAGGTTTCTTTTCTGATCAGAGCAATACTAATAGTAATAGTACTGAATCTTTGTTTAGAAAATGTGATGTTTTTGATGGAACATGGGTTCAGGTTTCGAGTGGTTACCCTTTGTATAATGCTACTGAGTGTCCTTTTGTTGAACAAGGGTTTGATTGTTTAGGTAATGGAAGGAGTGATTTGGATTTTCTGACATGGAGGTGGAAGCCTAAGGGTTGTGATATTCCGAGTTTTGATGTTGGTGCTGTTTTGGAGATGTTGAGGAGTAAAAGGGTTGTTTTTGTTGGGGATTCTATGAGTAGGACTCAATGGGAGTCTTTGATTTGTATGTTGATGACTGGTGTGGAGGATAAGATGAATGTTTATGAAGTCAATCAGAATCAGATTAGTAAGAGGATTAGGTTTTTAGGTGTTAGGTTTAGTGATTTCAATTTTACGATTGAGTTTTTTCGATCGGTTTACTTGGTGCAGCAGGGTCAGGTTCCTCGACATGCCCCGAAGAGAGTTAAATCGACACTTTTATTGGATAAGTTAGATGATATAAGTCATCAATGGATTAATTCGGATATTCTTATATTCAATACGGGTCACTGGTGGGTTCCATCGAAGCTTTTCCACATGTAAGGTTCCATTCTTTTCGTTACTTTTTTACTGTAATGCTCTACAATATCAAAGATTGCAATGCGACCATCACCCTTAGTTTTGTTTATGTATGAATGTATCTTCTGCAGTTTGATTTTTGATGTTATTAATAAATAGTTCACCATAGTAGCATAGACAGTGTTCTGTTATTACGTTCATCGTCGTGATTTTAGGTTTTAGAGTTTATGTAACAGGTGAATCAAAAGGGTGTTTTTTGATTTATGTTCACTTGGATTTTTTTGTTGTTAATGATTCTCTTCTTGCATTCAACAGGGGTTGTTATTTCCAGGTTGGAAGCTCTTTGAAGCTTGGGATGTCGATTCCTTCCGCCTATAGAATAGCACTCGAGACTTGGACTTCTTGGATTGAGAGAGAGATTGATAAAAATAGAACACGCGTCTTTTTTAGGACTTTTGAGCCATCTCACTGGAGGTATTGTTCACACATTACAGATAACACTATGCTTTATTTCTATATATATGTTTTAGCTTTCAGTGTATAATTTCTTATAACGATGCTTCAAAGTTAAAGTTATACTTGTATGTCGCAAGCGATGCTTGATTTATGGAACTCTGTCGCGTGCAGGATTCGATAACTGGATGTTTTCTGGTAACACATGCTTACTCTATCGTTCAATGATTATTTATCTAGATTTTATGTTTGCTGCAGTGATCAGACCCTTAGGACTTGCAATGTAACCCCGTACCCGACATTCGAAACTAATGCAACAGACCAAAACTCGTTTTCAGACACAGTTATGGAAGTTGTAAAGAATGTCGATTTTCCTATAAATATTCTTCATGTTACATCTATGTCAGCTCCCCGTAGTGATGCACATGTTGGTAACTGGAATGATAATCCATCTAGTCAGGATTGCAGCCATTGGTGTCTACCTGGAGTGCCTGATATGTGGAATGAAATTATCCTGTCACAAATTTTTCCCGAATATGATATCCCTTTTTGGGCAAATGGAACCGGACAGTAAGTTTGGTTGCTTCAAATGCTTCATTTTTACTTTCAAATGCTTTTAGAATTACTTTTCACACACATTTTATTTCTGGATGCAGATTAGATGACTAACATTCTTGCTAATTACGACGCAACTTCAAAAAATTCAAATTAATCCTAAGAAGTACCGATCAGATTTCATATCGCTGCTAACACCGTAAATATGGAGCCATCTCGTACTGCAATTGTTGACACTTGAAACCGCACCAAATTTTGTGAATCTGATCACTAGATATAAGTTTAAATTGTACCTAATTGTCTACAACATAAAAATGAAGCACTAGTTTTTCTAATTGATTTTCCCATTCTTTGTATCCTGAAAAAGGTATTGTTTGGGATGTAACAATTTTGTCTGCATGTCATGATTTTTCGTTTTGGTCGTGGCAATGCTATTGTTCTCCATAACAAAGATAAAGAGATGAACAGTTAGATATTAGAATCATTCAATTTCTATTCTGAATTGTAATGCTTGATATTGTTGTATTGCTCCTTGTTTAAATGAACTCTTGTTATATTTCCGAGAACAACCGTTAATAGCGCCAAAATCATCCTAGTTTATCAGGTAGTTATTTTCTCACATGAAGCATAATCAACAATCTGTTATGTAATATCTGTTTTAATTGAAGGACTCTATTTAAAAAGTGAAAAATACATTAAAAAAATTTCTGGGCCATATATTATGGAGAACAAGCATGAATCCCTGATGTATTTTTCTATAGTAAATAGACCTCTTAATTTTTTTTAAATGGAGAAAATACTTTAAGTAGAATCAATGTTTAGTAGATCCACCAAACTTGATTTCAATATGCAATGTTTACCAAAATGTTGATTTCAATATGCAATGTTTTCTAAGATGTACTATTGTTGAATTAAGCAAGTGATATATTAACCTCACAAAAGTCATTTCACAAATATAAGTACATAAATAATTTATATTTTTAGTGTCTTGCTGTCCTCTTGCTTTTACCTTCGAACATGCAATTGGATACTAGGACTAGAACAACAGGTTCACAAGGAAATCTCCAAACTGCAGATTTTTTCCTGGAAAGATAAATATTTTAATCCAATTTATATTACATAATATATGTAAACCGAAACAGGAAAAACGAGAGGAGCGATTTGGAAATGTTAGCCGCACAAAATAGATGTACACAGGCGGATGTTAATGGAATTTCTCTGGCATTGAAAATCATGGACCAATTGCAATAGGAGTGATGCGCTTCCTGGCTGGCTTATTTGAGACAAGTGTGCTCTTTGAACTTGACAATTGATTCCCTGTCTTTTCTGCTGGCCCTGGTTTTATGCCATCTAAACTTGACGGTGGTTTATCTGCTTCACTTAGTTTACAGTCTGGATTGGGTAATTGTTTTCTACTATCTGCTGCAACTCCTTCAATGACCGTGTCATCAGTTTTATGTTCTGCTTCAACTCCTTCAATAACCATGTCATCAGTTTTATGTTCTGCTTCACTCTTCCAACTATCTGCTATAACTGCACTAGCATTCCCAGTTGGCTTGATGATCATGTCATCCGGATTATCTTGTTTTTTAGTTTTGCTACTATCGGATGGAAATGCACCAATATCCCTAGATGCTTCAATGTCCATGTCATCAACTTTTTCTTCGGCTTCCATTTTTCTGCTTTCTGCTACAGCTGCACCAACACTCCCAGTTGGTAACACAGTGTTGTTGGCTGTCTGCAGGGTGCTTTTATTATCCTTGTCTGAGACATTTCCTTCTAAAACAAAGTGGAGAAGGGAAATGAAAAACCTGGTACAAGATAGAATGATAGCACGAAATGAAAGGGAAGTTTGCTTACTTGATAAACAGTAAGGTGATCCAAGTTCGCCATCTTCAAACTCCACCAATGAGCAGAAGCCATCTTGCGAGGAGAATGCCAAATAATGGGCATCAGGTGACCTGTTGAACAAACACTGACTACAATTAAACCTTTCCCCAAAAAGACCATCTTAATTCTCAAACTAGAAATGATTTTGCTAGCCATTATGACACTTACCAGGTAATATCTGTTACTGGAGCATAGTGAAGACCAGCAAATACAGCTATTGGAGAAGTGCTCTCAGTGTCATAAATGTACAATGAATTCAATGTGGCAACAGCAAATACAATGCGATATGGGAGCTTAAATAACCCATCTGCAATAAACAAAAACAGCATAATGCATCCGTTAGGCAATACACTCTCTGACACAAGCAGAATTTTAAAATACTAATTGGTAGGCAAAAGCAATTTTATTAAACTCGTCGATTAATCAACTCAGCAGGGGAACAGGGTTAGTGTCAATGGTAATTGATCAGCTTGACAGGGGAACAAGGTTAACGTCAATGGTAAAACCAGTATACCAATAGTTTAACTACATGGACTATTATCAATAAAAGGAGTGCTAACAACACCCACTCTAACACTCTTTAAATGGGTGAACCTTGTATAGGTCCCCCACTAATTTAGGAATGAGTCTCACATAAAATGGACCTACATAAATTCTACTCCCTCCGTTTCAAAATGAGTGTCGTTTTAGAGAAAAAATTTGTTTCAAAATGAATGTCATTCTCACTTTTCAATGTAGTAGTGATAGCTATTTTTTCAATTGTGTACTATAATTATTACTCTGCACACAACTTTCAATAAATTAATAAGACTAATTTAGTAAAAGTGCAATGTCTCGTGACAATATGATTGCATTCCTTAATCTGTGTGCAAAAATCTTAAACGACACTTATTTTGAAACGGAGGGAGTATCAAACAAAGGAGTTAGTGTTGGAAAGAGTGCTAAAATTAGTGTAACTGACACTTAGCTTTTAGTGTTGGGAATCAATATCTATACCAATAAAATTAGTAGAAACCACAATTTATTTACATCAAACGCACTGTTATCTTAAAAAAGCGAATGGGTTCTTCTACAATACAAAAAATTAGAAAATAATGCCTTATTAAGGAAAGAGATATTCTACTACTGCAAGGCAATTCCTATACAAAAATTCGAGAGTCTTTTTATGTCTCTTCCTTCCAGGAATTCAATCGCTTGCCCCAATATAATATCAAACTCGGCCAATATCTCGGCAGAGAACAGCAAAACCAAGAAAACTGTCACGATGTAACGTTTCGGCACAGATGGATGACTCGGCTAGAATGACCGCAATAATGAGATTGGGTTTGGAACGACGCCGCTCTGACACGGCTGCTCCGGCCTCCCCAGCCGTATATGATATTACCCTTAAATTTTAAGGGTAACAAGGCTATTTTATTGGCTTTTGCATGTATGTTATGCTTAAGGCTTTATCGCTTTTATTTCTAAATATGAATAGGCCGTTCCGCTCCCAGCTCCAGGTCCCGTTCCATTCTTGGGGAATAACCGCACCACGTCGCTATCCGAGATTGATAACATATGTCCCAACCAATATTCAGTTCCAAATAACATAACTGCTATCCAATACATAACTACAGAGTACAGCCTAATAACATAAAACTGTCTAGGATGCCTCTCATAATCTTTACTAGTAAGATGTCTAACAATTCTTAGCCGGCTATGTGACATATGCACCCGTTCATCAGCATGCCCGTTGCAATAAATTGATCATACCAGTTATGTGTACAAATCCCGGTCAAACTGGTATATGTTGGTTTTTAAAACATTGAGCAAAAGGTTTCACATTTAAGTTGGACTACATCCCACTCAGACAATTCAATCAGAACAGTACCACATAGAACTGGTTATACATTGTTACTGTATGTAAACATAAATATACTAAGTGCACAAGTACCTGAGTTTGTTCCCTTAAGATTGAAAAATATAGGACAGAACCGGACAGCTACAACAGCTTTGCTTGCACAAGGAATCTGTATAGCAGGCCTGCATATCAAGGTCAAATAATAAAGCAGCACACATCACTAACGTATTTTGTAACTTGATTCATTAGCTTAACATGAATAATTGAACATAATGACACATTATAGATAATAAATTATCAACATATGCTTTGGATTGCATAATGTCTAAGCTGAAAGACATACCGAGAAAGATCTTTTCTGGAAAATATGTAAGCTGCATTTACAGATTCAGACGCAGTACCAAATTTGTAAGAACCTGAAATGGGTAAACATGAAATTTTCAACTCGAAGCAAACCAGTAAAAGCTAAGTAGAAACTCATCTCTAAAGGTAGAAAACAATATATATGGTTCAGCCTATAACTTGAATCTAAATTATACAGATGTTGCCTAAACAACAAAGCGGTGGGAATGAAAAGCTGTCTGGACATCAGTATGCAACTAACAATAAATAAATTTTAAAGAACTATGAAAGAACCAAGAACTGGCCAGATTATATAATAATCTCTATGAAATTACAATAGCTTATCCACAAATAGTGCAAAAAAAGTAAGATTAATTGGATAGAGATTAACTTCTGCCTAAGTGAATACCTGCAGGCACAAGTAGAAATGAACCATCTGGAGACCAAGCTAATCTTCTAAAGAAAGAGGGCAATGTTTCGTCGTGGAAGAGATGATATTTTGTTGACTGCATTACAACAATTACACTTGATGTCTGTGTATGTGACTATCTATAAATAGTGAAATCAAATACAAATATAGATATCTAAAACTAACCTTGGAATTCTTTAATAATGGCTGTTCTGCCTTGGAAATAACATGCTTGCAAGCGTAATTGATTCTCTCAATACCCTTTGTTTTATGGGGTTTACTAATGTAAACTCGGCAAGTCCGGTCAGAACTTAAAGAAGCAACATACTTTCCTAAAGGGTCCCATGCTACCCCTTGAACATAGTGTGCATGGGTATCCAACGTCTGAAGGTTAGTTCCTGACAGAAATGAAATGAACACAAATGGAATGAGTGCTATGAGAATATAAACCAAGTATGCCTATTTCCATTGCATTTACATCATATATCATCTGCCATGTACCACCGTTAAAGCATGTCCAGAACTGATAAGTAGTGGGCTTTGTACCTTTGTTAACATCCCATATAATGCAAGAATTATCAACTGATCCAGATATCATATATGCACCATCAGAAGACCACTCCAGGTCCATAATGTCCTTTATATGGGATCTAATTCACACAAAACTATCAATCATAACCAGCAAATTGAAGCAATAAAACATAAATATCAAAATCAATAGTAAAAATAAAACATTGGGATGGATCATTGTGAATGGTCTTAATCACAGTTTCGAACTCAAATAGTATCCTTAGCTTCCATGTTATTCAGAAAGAAATCAAACAAAATTGTTATAATTATTTTTAATTAAAACAGGCAACCTATAAACTCTGCATTTTCATCTAAAAGTAGCCATGACAACATTACACCTTGTGTGAAATATGCTATTACATAACATAATGCATATTAACCAACTAAATTCACAATAACCTACAACACTTCCGGTCTTTATTGAGAAAGTTTACTTTTAAAATGTACTATCTTCATTTTTTTTTCAAACCGCTGCCTAAATTTGTTTTACAGAAACCAAGGAAATCAATAATTTTTGTTGTATTGGTGAAATTGATTGTCTGTCTTTTTTCTATGATACCCTTGTTTGTTTTTCATTGCATTGCCCCTATTTCTTGCATAGGTTTAAATAACAAAGATACTACTGAAAGTTGTTACAATTGCATTGAGTTTTGAAATTTCAAACAAACAAGAACACGACTTTCAAAATAATGGCAGCTAATAAAGAACAGAGAAAAATAAATAATGCAAGTAAGGGCTCACTGAGGAATCAAAACAAGGAAGTTACCTTAACATCTTAAGAACCTTCCATGTCTGGCCAGTATCCATCGAATGCAGCTTCCATATTAACAGTTCACCACCTGAAAAGAGGAAAATTCTGATTAAAAAACATTACTTTCTTATAACATTAATTCAATCTAAAAAATATCAATAAAAATTCATCAATAGGGATCAAGACAGTACCATCAGAACCAGAAGCCAATAGTTCCCCTGAAGCATAACAAATTAAAATAGTTACTTACAAAAAACAAAACTTCATTCTCTAACTAAAACAGCAAATTACTCATAAAAAAACTGAAATTTCAGTCATTGAGAAAAAGATTATCGGTAATATGATGCGATGTTACCGGAAGGAGCGAATCGAATAACATTAACAGCTGAACTATGGTACGAGAGGCTGTTGAGATAAGTAACTACTGGAAGCTTCTTCGGCGATCCAGAAGGTTTAATTGACCATAACTGTGAACAAAACAACACAAATCAGTTCAATGTGGGTTTGATTTGATGATTAATTAGCTAATTGAATGGTGCGAGTGAAGGAATGGTAATGGTACCTTGATGTCGAAATCGGCGCCGGCGGTGGCGAGAGTGGCGGAGAGAGGGTGGAAATCTAGGGTTAAGACGGGTTTGCTTTCGTGCCAGTTGATTTGAACCGTTCCGCCTTTCATTTCTCGCTCTTTGCGTCGGTTTTCGATCTAATTGGGATTTTAGGTTTAGAGATGGAGAGTGAAGGATACTAACAGACACGCGCTGAGGTAAGGGGAAGAAATGGAATTTCGCGCTTCTTGTTTTTTTCTTGGCGGGAAACAAAATTATTGTATCATGGATTTGGGCCTTCTTTTGGGCTTCCTAGTTTGAGGATTTAACATGTCACTTTCTGTTATATATGCCACCTCTTAAAGAGTATGAAAAAATTAAATTATCAAAATTTAAAAAAATTTCAAAAATTTCAAATTTTCAATATCACACCGTATTTTTTAAATTTATTGGACGATACCGGAAATTTAGTGAAATAGTAAAGAATTTACGGTGGATTTGTGTAATTTCCGGTATTTTATGTCAGAAATTTTAAAATATTTGATATATTCTAATCGGAAATTTTGAAATTTTTGGATTTAGTATTTACCTTTTGTACCATAAACTTTGAAATTTCCAGAGCTTTGCAGCATGTATCAGAAATTTCAAAATTTTTGATAGTTCAATTTTTTTTGAAAAATAGTTCAAATTTTTTTTGAAAAATACCAGAAAATTTTAAATTTCCAGTAGTTCATATTTTTCCTATTTTTTCCTCCTTTTATTCATTGTTTCGATGAGGACCAGGGGCAAATATGGTTTTGTTGCGGGTAGGGCTGACAATAAATCGAATCAACTCGAAAATAGTTTGAGATTTGATTCGGTAATTAATTTGTTAGACTTGGTTCATGAACCAAATGAGTCGAACTTGAGCTCAAAATTAAGTTTGTAAAATAAATAAGTTGAACTTGAGCTATGTATAGTTGGATTCGTTTGGTTCATGAACTGACTCGATATATAAGTTTCACGAAGACATCAATACTTAGTTCTCATATTTATTTATATCATTTGAAAGATGATAAAATAATTTACAATTCTATTGATTAAAAAAATCCAAATTCAACATAGTAAAATATATGTTACAAATTTAAGTTATAACATTTCATTATTTGCTCATATTACCTACTTTTGATGATAATATCTTGAATTACAAATATTATTTTGAGATGAAACTTATATTATATGAAAGTTAGAAATATTGTCTATAATTCTTGTTAATACAATAAGGATAAATAAGATTGTTTTAAATAAGATTGTTCTAACAAGTCGAGTTTGAGCTGGAAAAAAGTTCGTGATGAACTTGAGCTCAAACTCGGCCAATTCTTAACGAGTTGAGTTTGAGTTGGAAAAAAGTTTGTGCCAATAACACAATATCAATCATCATAAGTCAATAACACAATAATTTAAATATGCAACACATAATGCGACTCGTTACGATGCATATGCATGTGATACCATTGGAGCAGAACTCCCAACTTAAAAATATGCCAATTAATAGAGGCGTTAACAAGGCATAAGTCTTCAACTTAATTTGTCAATCCAGGTCAACTTACTAAGCATCAGCTCCAACTTGATATGCTATGTATGCGACACAATATGAATGTCATAGTAACAATAATAATAGTTGCATAGCAACACAACAACAAATCAGCATTGGTCATAGGCCTACAACTTATAATTTTCCCATAAATAGAGGCAATTCAACAAGATACAACATCACCTGTAATTTCACATTTTTCAACAAAAACACCACCCAACGAGTCAACCAAAATTTACTACAAATAAATTGCGTAATTATTCAGACTATTCCGACTAAAACCGGTTAATTAATTATCGGTCAAAAGTTTTATTATTTCTATTTTATACTAAACTTCTTATTACGACTCGATTAAATTAATACTATACTGCTATTGAATAGTCTATACTGCAAATGTTATTTTCTGTTAAAAACTACCAGACTGTTATTTGTTACTTTCTACTACAAATATACTACATGTCAATTTTATTGTCATATTACATACATATTAGTTTCAATCTAATGGTTACTTGTGTTTAAATTGGTAATCTTGCTACTTCTACTACCAACTATTTCCACCACTTTATTACCAAATTTGCCAATTCATATTGCTACTGTAGCTTCTACCAATAAATATGTGTTATTATCTTGCAGCTTCAACTTGTCATACTCACAACTCTAAACATGTCGGAATTACGCAAAACAAATAAAAGTATAATTCTCAATAACCCAAAATAACTCTCACAACTTTATTGGCAACTCTAACAACTCTATTGATAACTCTATCGAAATTAAAATTAACATAAATATTTAACTCCTAAATATTATACTATTAATTATTATTGTTATTATTATTATATCAATTATAATATAGAATTCCAATTGTTATACTAGTAACGGCTAATCCTGCTAAAGAACTAATATATATATATATATATATATATATATATATATATATATATATATATATATATATATATATATATATATATATATATATATATATATATATATATATATCGCTACGGTACCGTGAATGCTACAAATGTCAATTGGTCTATATATATCATACTACCACTATCTTTATTCCTGTAACAAAAACAAAGATAGTGGTAGTATAATATATAGACCAATTGGCATTTGTAGCATTCACGATATTGTAGCGATATATATATATATATATATATATATATATATATATATATATATATATATATATATATATATATATATATATATAGCCACATATCTATCAATGTAGTGTACCGTAAAAATATTGATGCTATAGTATCAGAACAATATTAAATTGGATTCTCAATCATCTCTCAATTTCAATAATATATCAATTTCAAACACAAACAGAAACAATTTTACAAACCCAATCCTACATATCATTCATCATATACCCTATTATAGAGTCAGAACACCACCCTTATCTTAGATTGAATGTTGCTCTTAATTTGGGATCTATCCATTGGAACCTCGTTTTTGTCTCTCTTCCTTCTTTGCAACTTTTCTTCGTACACCACTTGTTTCAATTCTTACTGCTACTTCCTTTCTAACCTAGTTTTCCAATTAGTTTATAACTCTAATTTGGTTATTCCTTGTGGGCTTAGTAATACACCTCCCATATTACTACCTCTAGTCAAATAAATAGGCCCAACAACAAGTGTTCTGCTAATTTACTAATTCTACCATTATCATTACTATTAATATATTACTAATCAACTAGTAAATCAACAAAATACTAATAACGACATACTCAATAATCATCAGCATCCTGCAACTTCGGGAAAAAATCGAAAATATTTAATTAAATAACTAATTAAATATTGGGCGTTACAACTCCCTTATTTAGAATATTTTCGTCCTCAAAAATTTACCTGATTCGAACAACTCAAGATAGAATTCTCGCATCTTGCTCTCCAATTCCTACGTCATGCTTTCTCCGGCCGCTTCTGACCAGACTACTTTCACCAAAGCAATCTCCTTGCCTCTTAGAGTCTTCATTTCATGATCTGTGATTTGTACAAGTATCGTCTCCACAATAAGATTATCTCGTACTTGTACATCATCCATATGAATCACATGAGATGGATCTGAAATGTACTTCTGGAGTTGTAACACGTGGAACACATCGGGCAAATTCGAAAGATTAGGCGGTAAAGTCACTCTATATACAACCTTGCCAACTCTGTCTGCAATCTGATACGGACCAATAAACGAGGAGTGAACTTCTTAAACTTCAATGCACGCCCAACACTAGTCACAGGTGTAACTCTCAGAAACACATGGCCACCTGCTTGAAATTCTAAATCTTGCCTTCGCTTGTCATGATAACTCTTCTGTCTACTTTGGGAAGCTTTCATCTTTTCTCGAATTAACTTCACCTTCTCGGTAGTTTCTCGAACAAGTTCAGGTCCAAGTACTACGCTTTCCCCAGATTCATGCCAACATAAAAGAGTTCTACATCTTCGACCATACAACGCTTTAAAAGGTGTTGTTCCAATACTAGAATGGTAATTGTTATTATAAGTGAACTCTATTAACAGAAGATAAGTATCCCACGAACCTTCCTCCTCAAGAACACATGCTCTTAATAAATCTTCCAATGACTGAATAGTCCTCTCCGTCTGACCACTCGTCTGAGGGTGATATGCCAAACTCAACCTCAACTTATAACCCAACGCCTCTTGAAAACTCTTCCAAAAATCTGAAGTAAACCTCAGATCTCTATCTGAAACAATACACAAAGGAATACCATGTAGTTTCACTATTACACTAGTGTAAATCTCCGCCAACTTTGATACTGGAAAACTGATGTTAATAGGAATAAAATGAGTCGACTTTGTAAGCCTATCAACAATCACCCAAATTGAATCATGTCCTCTTTAATTATTAGGTAACCTCATCACAAAGTCCATCGAAATGCCATCCCATTTCCATTATGGAACTTATAGCGGTTGCATCAACCCTGCAGGCTTTTGATGTTCAACTTTCGACTTCTGACAAGTTAAACATGCATACACAAACTGCGCTATATCACGCTTCATCCCAGGCCACCAAAACAAATTCTTCAAATCTTGATACATTTTAGTAGCTCCCAGATGAATACTCAATTTGCTTATATGACTTTCCTCAATAATCACTTTCTTCATCTCTGCATCATCAGGAATACAAATTCGATTACGGAATCTCAACACACCTTGCGCATCTAACTTGAAATCACTATTCTCAGATTGATCGATTCCAACCATCGAATCTACCAGTTTCACGTCTAACTTCTGAGCTTCTTTGATATTGTCCAGAAATTTATTGTTAATTTTCAACATTCCCAACATAACACTATGCGGTGTCACTTTGCAAACTAAGATCATATCTCTGAACTGTTCAATTAATTCCAACTCTTTAACCATCATTGCTGACATATGTAAAGTCTTTCGACTTAACACATCGTCCACCACATTCGCTTTTCCTGGATGATAATTCAAACCGAAATCGTAATCCTTTAACAACTCTGACCATCTTTGTTGTCTCATGTTCAATTCTTTCTGATCAAATAGATATTTTAGACTCTTA